AGGGTACGCACAAGGTTGCCCAGTCATCAAAACATTACCAAGTTCTTCACCCGCCACCCACCACAGCCGGCCCAAGTCAGTGATAGTGACAGTGAGGATATGGACTTTGAGGGGTTTGACAAAGAGGCCCTGCAAGTCTCTGTGGTGGATAGTGATACAATTGATACAAGTGATACAGGTGAGGGCCAATAATCTGCTCTCTGCCTCGGAACCAACCCCCCATCCCGTGTGCCCAGCCATCTTTTTTACTAACGTAAGTGTTAAAAAACCTATAATTGATATTTCTCTTAAATATTAATTTGTGTGCATACCATCATAAAATTAAGATGTTATTTTTACTACAACGTACGTATTGTGTTGGAAAAAGTGTAGTTTGGGGGTCGGCCCAGTCTCTATTTCAATTAATCCCATATGTTCTGTTATTTCGTTTACGTGTTTCTCGTTTTACGCGGACCTCCACGGGTTCAATTGACCGCGTAAATGCAGATTATACTGTACGTATTTTCGAGTCCCAACGTCAGTGTACTGACAAAATTTTCATTTGTAATTCATTTTAAAATGGCTGGCAAGCTTAAAAGTGAGAGTTTTGTGGTGCTGAGAAGAAAAAGAGACACCCATTTTAGATTTTCTATTTATTATTTAAGCATTTTCAACTTACGACCAATTCGACTTACGACCTGGATTTGAGTCCCTAACCCCGTCATAAGTTGAGGAGCAGCTGTATACTATTACTAGCTACTACTGTATACAATTACTACTACTATACTATAATATTACTTTTACTACTACAGTATACTGTTACTAAGTGCTATACTATTACTACTACACTACTATTGTATGACTACTATTACCAACACTAAACAACTACAGTACTTTTTTACTTTTATCCTCTTCGCCACTGATCGGCTTGTTAGCCGCTTGGGCGGTCAGTCACGTCTCTGTTATGCACTGTTGGCAAGCATGCACCGGCTCCTGAATGTATCTGAACCCATCGCAAACTTCCATGGTCGGAAATTAATTTGAATTTCGATATATGAGACCCAAAATAAAAATCAAATTTGATTGGGCCAAAAATACCGCGAATTAAATCACAAATCATATTAATTGGTTGCAAAAAAAAAAAACCGCTTTTGATTGGCCGCGTGACGTGTACGGGAACGCATGCGAGTGATGATTTATGAAGGAGACACGCAGTGTGGGAGGTGAGGTAGGCGATAATGGCGGAAGATTAATGGAAGAAAATAGAGAAAATTTTGAATACGCTATCTCCGTTATTATACATTTGCGACGGTAATGTAATAGAAGAAAATTATCTTGTAATTAGAAGTCTGATTCGAATATGATAATAGATTAGGGGTAGGAATGTCGAGTGAGGAAATACAATAATACCCATAATGGTAGCAAACACCAAGAAATCCACACCAAATAAATTATAATTTCTATAAAAAAAAAAAAATGTTCAATATTGTGGTTTTTGTGTTGATAATTTTGAAAACTTACCCCGTTTCCGTAAGGTCTAATTTATGGGCCGTATCCTGAATTTAGTGATGACAATTTACAAATTCCATATGGGCGAATTTCCACTCACCCTCTTGGTCCCATCATACTTAATAGAAAACAATGTCACACTATCAGTCCCACCTCACCACACTAATGTGCACAATATTGCACCATCAACTCTACCCGGCCATGTTATAGCGAACAATATAAATTTCCTGGTAAATATAACGCATAAATATTATACACAATTAGGAGGAATATCTGAATAAGGTACAGTACAGAGTACCGTATATCACGGCCTATAAGACGAAATTTGAACATTAAAAAAATCTGCCCAAAGTTAGGGGGTCGTCTAAACCACCAAGTTTAAAATTCTTACCTCTTAAATATTGTGGTTTAGTGTGTCAAGAGTGGTGATGAAAACATCGTAAGCCACTCACAAGGTCTTACCACTAATTATTTTATACTGAAACTTACGTTTGGCAAGCTGGATTCAAATTAAGATTACCGGTATATTAAAATAATAAAAATGTATTATAAACCTGTCTAACATACCGTAAAAGAGATTTATACCCCTATAATAAACACAGCTATCATCACACACCCCTCCCCACGCCCCCCCCCCCATTTGCCAGTGAGGAGCCGTGGAGGTGGTCAGTAATGCATACCGGTATCGGTATATTTACTCATAATAATATTTATCTCCTATAAATAATTGATTTAAATTTTATTTTTTTACAAAGAATATTCAGTAAATGAGTGCATTAATTCTTGAAACTATCGACGGTTAATTACAGACGCTCAAGTGACGTCACTAGTGTTTACACTACACCAGCTGGTAATATTTGATGCCATTACTTGAAGTGAATTGGCCTTATTTTAAGTAACTAACTATAAATAAATACAAAAATTAAAAAAAAAGATCAAAACTGAGAAATAATATACTGTATGTATGTTGTGTTGTCAAAGTAAGAGGAACAATTGTGTAAGTACGTAATATTTTTTCACTCAAATCCTAATGAAACACTACTGGAGAACATTCCTTTGTCGCAAAACAGTTTATAAATTAAAGAAAATAATTACAGTGTGTTTAATATATTACAGTATATTATAAATAAATAAATAAAACAAATAATTCGGTAAATCTATTTAAAGTAAATGGAAAATAAGCAAACATGTTATTTACCAAGACCCTTCCGTCTGGCTCAGGGTGAGATGTAGGGGAGATAAAGAAGGCTATTTATAGCCCATCAGAAGTGACCAGTACCCTAATGCACCATAAATAATTCATTGAACATTCATTTTTTGTACATAGTATATTCAGTATATATATATATATATATATATATATATATATATATATATATATATATATATATATATATATATATATATATATATATATATATATATATATATATATATATATATATATATATATTTGTGTAATAAATGTATGTAGTAAGTACATACTGGTAACCTTTTTCACTCAAATCCTAATGAAACACCACAATTAGAATACGGTGGTTGCTGTTGAACCACATGTTGTATAAATAGTCACACCACCGAGACGAGGGAACACTCCCAACACGCTTCAGTGACGTCACTAGTGTTTACACTACACCAGCGGGTATAATTTGATGATATTACTTGAAGTGAATTGGCCTTATTTTAAAAAATCAAGGATGGTTGGTAAAGGACTACTGAGTCAGTGGGTAAGTGTCACATTTGGGGTACTGGTCTTATACAGCAAATAGAGCTCAAAAGCTACTTTTTAAATGGAAATTTGGGGGGGGGCGTCTTATGCACCCCGCCGCCTTATAGGCCGTGATATACGGTATGCATTGTGAGTCACATATCATCTGTCAGAAACATTTATCACACCACAAACCACTGTATTATATCATAAAAAAATAAATTCCATGAGCATGTATGTAGGGGTGTGTCTGTCTTCAAATTAAAATTGTGCAAAGGAAAAATGTCTGAGGGATATGATCATTTCAGGAAAATATAGATAAACCATCTTTCAAATCCTACCAAAATATTTGTCATACAGTGGTTGTATTATTGTTATTGCTGTAAATATCAGGCTTGTATCTCATACTCAAAACAGCACAAAATAAAATTATTATTATTATAATTCAGTACATAAAATCAAATAAATCTGAACATCATCTTATATCTAAACCTACTTTCAATGACTAGTTTTAAATGATACCATGACCAGGCAAGCTATCACCTCACATGTACCCAACATTCAATTAAAAATAGGTAATGGAATTTAGATGCATTAATGTGTATGTATTTGTGTGTGTGTGTGTGTGTGTGTGTGTGTGTGTGTGTGTGTGTGTGTGTGTGTGTGTGTGTGTTTGCACTTTGTCTTATTCACTTTTCCGACAAAAGACATTCACAAAAAAAGTTGGCTAAATAAAAACATTATACCATTTTAATATCAATGTCCCCTGTTATCTGTCTGTGAGTTGTAAACATGACACTTCCAAGAAATAGCTATGGATTTTAACAAAACCTGGTACTGTTTGTGGATATATCACAAAATCCCAAATGAGTTCAATAGTCACAATTTTCTGGATTTTGTTGTGGTGTGGCAGCGGACTTATGGTAATCACCTTGGTTGTCAACCTTGTTTCTCCTTAATACAGTACAGTGTCTGCATTAATTTCTTAAGACATTTGTGGTTCCCTCATTTGATGACCCATAACTCACCTACCAAGTTTTGGTGAGATTCATCACCTTTTGATCTGAACTGATCAGAGTGACTGATAAGACGACTCTTGTCCAATGGTTATTTTCTTCCCATGTATCATGTGTTTCATGGGGTAGGGGGGGGGTAATAAAAATCATCACTATGCATAGTATATACAAAGCAATAAAGAATGTGAAATAAATTAGTTTTCTTGTGATTAAAAGACTTCATACAGTTGTGACCTCTCTTGATGTGAAAACTGGAAAATATGCCAATTCACTCTAATGTACAGTACTTGACATGCTGACAGTGGACAAATGCCGTACATGCAAGCACTTGTAAATTAAGATCGTAAGTTCACTTAACTTTTGACATATACGAAACATTTTATTTAAGACCCAAATATTACAAGAGTAAGAATTTATTTGAAACATTGAATGATATTTACATGTAATAAACTCCTAAAGCTGCAATACTGTTGTACTTCCACTTGATGAACTAACAATGTGATAGTATTTGATATAACAAGACTATTTAATCCTCTTGCATAAGGTACTATAGATGCCTTTTTCAACATATATTTATTTTCTGTAATGAAGGATTGTAGTATCAAGTTATGCATACTGTATATGTGTCTACTGAAGCATGGTTACTGGTAGGCTTGTTTCATAAATAATTGTAAGCTGCCTGGTAAAGGCATCTGTGCTTGATGAAAACTTTCGAAATGCTCTTATTTATTTTCTTATTTGCTTATTGATGTTCGGTAATCAACTACTGTATCTCTTCCTTTTTGTTTTTAAAAATGATGCTGTAACATATGATGTTTCAAAGCACCTCTCTGTGTGGAGCGATATTTGCAGTGGGCACAGGCAAAAGGTTTTTCACCAATATGAATTCGAATATGGGTCTTAAGATTATCTTTTGTAGTAGCACTATAAGTGCAGTATGGGCAAGCAAAAGGTTTTTCTCCTGTATGAGTGCGAATGTGAATTTGTAAACTTCCTTTCTGGGTGAAAGATAATGGGCAATAAGAACAACTGAATGGTTTTTCACCAGTATGTGTTCGAATGTGATTAGTGAGGCTAGATTTTGAGGGTGTTGTGTAAGGGCAGAAGAAACAGTGGTGCATCTTGAGGATGTTGAGGGAGTCTTTCCCGGGTCCAGGTGATCCTCTCTCGCCAGTCTCGAAATCATCACAGTCCAGCCTCACCTGTAGAGGACGCCATCTTATTCACAAACAATAATGACAGAGCAAAGCAATGAAAGCCACCTAACACATCACATGCATCTAATGATTCAAGCTCTAAAAGAACATATACAGGAATCAGCATCTGCTATTCGATTTCAAAATTTGAGATTACAAAGCGTTTCTAACAGAATCTGTTGGTGATAAGTGATTTTTTAACATGTCAACTCTACTCGCAAAGTAAGGACCCGAGATGAGCTGAGACACTGTAATGATGGAAGTGAACAAACAGACTGTCACTCAGCGCAGTAAACTAAGAAAAGGTTCATTATGGTGCTGATTTAATTAAGCTGTGAAAATTCAGAGTGTATATATATATATATATATATATATATATATATATATATATATATATATATATATATATATATATATATATATATATATATATATATATATATATATATATATATATATATATATATACTGTATATATATATATATACTATATATATATTGAATCATCAAAAAACCACCCCAAAACCAGGGGTCATCTTATAGGCCAGATACAAAATTCAAAATATATACTTGTATAATGTACTACAGTATTCATATAATCATATACAATACTGTACTTGGATGTTAAAAGAAGAAAAGATTTGGGTTAAAAAAAATAGGTCTCTGAGGTGGAGGTCACATCATATCCTGTGAGATATACAATAAAGTGTGAGAAGATGAAACAAGAATATACTGTACAGTAAAGGTATTAAAGAGAGCCCCTGGATAAATTTCTAATGCTTAAATTTACTGTATTTCTGTCATTCACACTACCTGTATAAAACAATTGGCAGTAATTTATACATCTACAAATGAACTCTATGAGATGAATCTCACCGGTCTAATATGTTTCAGCTCCACCGATAGTGTACTCATACTCTAATAATCTACTTATGTCCATACTCTACTGATTTGCTGCACAGTACTGTACTCAGACTCTACTGATATTGTATTCAATCTACTGTTGTACTCATACTCTACTGCTGTACTCATACTCTACTGCTGTACTCATACTCTCCTGTTGTACTCATACTTTACTGTTGCACACTCATACTCTACTGTTGTACTCATACTCTACTATTGTACTCATACTTTACTGTTGCACACTCATACTCTACTGTTGTACTCATACTTTACTGTTGCACACTCATACTCTACTGTTGTACTCATACTCTACTGCTGTACTCATACTCTACTGTTGTACTCATACTCTACTGTTGTACTCATACTTTACTGTTGCACACTCATACTCTACTGTTGTACTCATACTTTACTGTTGCACACTCATACTCTACTGTTGTACTCATACTCTACTGTTGTACTCATACTTTACTGTTGTACTCATACTCTACTGTTGTACTCATACTCTACCGCTATACTCATACTCTACTGTTGTACTCATACTCTACTGTTGTACTCATACTCTACTGTTGTACTCATACTCTACTGTTGCACACTCATACTCTACTGTTGTACTCATACTTTACTGATACACACTCATATTCTACTGTTACACACTCATACTGTACTGTTGTACTCATACTTTACTGTTACACACTCATACTTTACTGTTGCACACTCATACTCTACTGTTACACACTCATACTCTACTGTTGTACTGATACTCTACTGTTACACACTCATACTTTACTGTTACACACTCATACTCTACTGTTGTACTCATACTTTACTGTTGCACACTCATACTCTACTGTTACACACTCATACTCTACTGTTGTACTCATACTTTACTGATACACACTCATATTCTACTGTTACACACTCATACTGTACTGTTGTACTCATACTTTACTGTTGCACACTCATACTCTACTGTTACACACTCATACTCTACTGTTGTACTCATACTTTACTGATACACACTCATATTCTACTGTTACACACTCATACTCTACTGCTGTACTCATACTCTACTGTTGCACACTCATACTTTACTGTTGCACACTCATACTCTACTGTTACACACTCATACTCTACTGTTGTACTCATACTCTACCGCTATACTCATACTCTACTGTTGCACACTCATACTCTACTGTTGTACTCATACTCTACTGTTGTACTCATACTCTACTGTTGTACTCATACTTTACTGATACACACTCATATTCTACTGTTACACACTCATACTCTACTGTTGCACACTCATACTTTACTGTTGCACACTCATACTTTACTGTTGTACTCATACTCTACTGTTGTACTCATACTCTACTGTTGTACTCATACTCTACTGTTGTACTACTGTACTCATACCCTACTGCTGTACTCATACTCTACTGTTGTACTCATACTTTACTGTTGCACACTCATACTCTACTGTTGTACTCATTCTTTACTGTTGTACTCATACTCTACTGCTGTACTCATACTCAACTGTTGTACTCATACTCTACTGTTGTACTCATACTCTACTGCTGTACTCATACTTTACTGTTACATACTCATACTCTACTGTTACACTCATACTCTACTGTTACACACTCATACTCTACTGTTACAGACTCATACTCTACTGTTACACACTCATACTCTACTGTTACACACTCATACTCTACTGCTGTACTCATACTCTACTGTTGTACTCATACTCTACTGTTACACACTCATACTCTACTGTTACACACTCATACTCTACTGTTACACACTCATACTCTACTGCTGTACTCATACTCTACTGTTGCACACTCATACTCTACTGTTACACACTCATACTCTACTGTTACACACTCATACTCTACTGCTGTACTCATACTCTACTGTTGTACTCATACTCTACTGTTGCACACTCATACTCTTCTGTTGTACTCATACTCTACTGTTGTACTCATACTCGACTGCTATAATCATACTCTACTGTTGTACTCATACTCTACTGTTGTACTCATACTCTACTGCTGTACTCATACTCTACTGTTGCACACTCATACTCTACTGTTGTACTCATACTCTACTGTTGTACTCATACTCTACTGTTGTACTCATACTCTACTGCTATACTCATACTCTACTGTTGTACTCATACTCTACTGTTGTGCTCATACTCTACTGTTGTACTCATACTCTACTGTTGTACTCATACTTTACTGTTGCACACTCATACTCTACTGTTGTACTCATACTCTACTGTTGTACTCATACTTTACTGTTGCACACTCATACTCTACTGTTGCACTCATACTCTACTAATCAATTGTAGTCCGTACTTAACTGACTCAGTGTAGTCCATACTCAACTGATTTAATGTACAGTACAGTATTTATATTCTACTGATCCACTGTGAGTTAATTCTGTACTGGCCTCCTGTGTCCATCCTCTATCGGCTTCCTCATCATCATTTCCTTACGCACTACTAAACATGGGTTCCTACTTCTCTTGTCAACACTGTACATGTGCTCTGCTACTCTTCTTACTTATGTTGATAGGTGACATGAGTTTGGAGGACAGTGCTCCTTGTATCAATGTAAAGTAATTTATGATCGGCAGTATAACTTGAGAACAGAGCGTTCTACAGTGTTCATGCCTGTTAAATATTTTCAGAACAATGGCTCCAAAAATAACTACACATTTGGGGTTTGAAAGGTCAAAGATCGAGGTCATAATTTTGATAAAGGCATCACCCAGTGTGAGTTGGCCGCTCCATGAGTGCAGTCTAGTCACTACGGTACTGTAAACGTGCTTCTACTTCTATTACTGGATTCAAAACTATATACGTTTTCCAATGCCCAACTGAGTCAGGTTACTTGTTTCCAGTACTCACCAGAACACAGCTGTTCATACTTGCCTTAAGTAAACAGCCTCACTTAAAATGGGTCAACATGTGAGATTTCAATGTGCCTTTCTGTGTGGATCGGTAGGAGCAATGAGGACAAGCATGAGGCTTCTCCCCAGTGTGTGTACGGACATGGTACATCAAGCTTTGTTTTGTGGTTGCCGAGTAGGAACACAGTGAACAAGCAAATGGTGTCTCTCTTGTGTGAGTCCGTATGTGATTTTTGAGATTGGTTTTAACACAAGTGGTATAAGCACAGTAGATACACTGGAATGCCTTGGTGGTGGTGGTGGCGGTGATGTTGTTGCTGGTGCATAGAGCTCCTCTCCCTCCAGTCCCGCCACCGCCACACTCCGCCCTCATCATCTGTAGGGGATGCCCGTCTTATTCTCATCTCAGTTAAAATAAAAATTTAAGATATACCATAATATAACAGTCTACGTCATAACTTATTACCTGTTATGAATAGCCATCACTATTCTTACCTTATACAAAATGGGCCATGAATTGTTCATTTCTGTTATTAAAAATTCTGAATGTTTCCATACTACATTAAAAAAAAATATGTTAAATTAGCCTAACAACTAAGTTAATATATCCTCGATAAAGTGTATATAAAGTAAAGAGAGTAAAATTTGGTTCATCAAAATTGTTCCAAAATTATAAATCAAATTGGAGAAATTTCCCTTTAAGTGTTTGGAATAAGGAGGCATCTTGAGTACCCTGTGGATATTCCGAGGTAGATAAATGAGGCTGCGAGAAAATATGTAGTTATTTAAATTTAAAAACAATACTTCAAGGGAAGTTCATGGCCAAATAAAATGATTCGCTATCCTCGATATATAAATAATGTGTAGCCGGTGATGAGAGAGGACACGTGAGGGGCTGATTTGCTAACCAATAAGGCGAGTCATAGCTTAAAAAAGGCCATACCACTATAATAGATAAAAGACAGACCAAAACAAGAGGCTTGATCTAACTCAGCTGAACAATAAGGCAACTGTTTTAGGACAAAGGTGAGATGGATATTGTTTAATTCTAGATAACTTTATCAAACCTCCTCAGGAAGCTTTTATCATCCTAGGAGGATAAATCCAAAGTATTATCCTGAACTTCTCACCAACCAACAATTACTATCACACAAGACATTCAACCATTGTAGTATTTTCTTTCAAGTAATGGTATTAAACATCAACTAGTTATCTAATTGTAAAATATTGAAATGAAATTTATATGCAATACCCGGTACTGAAATGTTTACAGTATTTCCCCATAAGCGAGTTTCTGTGAAATTAGTGTTGGACTTAACTACTGAGTATATAATGTACTGTACTGACAACTTTGAATAATACAGTACAGTACATAACAGTGAATTTATCAAGTTGTTTGATGTATTGTTATATTTAAGATGACAGTACATTACTGTACACTGCAGTGGATAATGTTTTCAGTCGAAGATTTGTCTGTCATGATTAAGAAGCAACTCATTTATTTTATAATAAGACATAAGGATCTTCACATATATTATAAGAGAAAAGTGTGAATTTTCACGGTAATTCTATGCTGCACGATCATATGATGAACCATAGCCCAAACCCCCAGAACTATAATAAACACTACAAATGAAACACATAACAGCTGCAATAAGTTGAACTAGCATAAATAAATGAAGGTTGAGTGTAGAGTAGCTGGTTGGGTAGCCTGACTGTTGTTAGAGCCATGTTTTAACAAGCACACATACAGTACAGTACAGTATTGTATCTGTAATCCACAATCTTCTGTATTTACACTATCCTCTGCTAAGTTGTTAGCTATACTATATTATACTGTCAAAGAATACCAAAGCAAAACACAACTAAACCAGCAACAACTGTACGTATATGGCGAGAAGCAGTGGTGTTACTGCGTGACAGAATGTCATTGATGAAGTTTATTTAATATTTTATTTCCAGTGTAATAACAGTAGATCTAACTAAATATTACCACAACCTAAATTATTGAAAAATACCTAAGCAATATTAATTTACTGTCAAAATATCTTACAGTACTATATGAAAGAAGTGGGAAACAGCAGCCTAAGTTGTAAAATTGCAACAATCAGATCCAAGGTCTGGATCTAGGCCTGTATAGGCCAGAGAAGGCTTAGGCTATTTTAATGTAAGTAGGACTAGTCATCTGAGAGCTGAAAATATTGAAAACCGAGACATGCTTATCCCCAAGGTATTCAGATAAAGGGTCCCCAACCTGTACAGTACAATATACTGAGAAATACATATTCTAAGATATCATGAATAAAATTCAAACATCAGTTTTGTCTCAGACATCATGAAAATTTGCTGGGTATAAGTTTTGATATGAAATTTATATCTAATTTTCATCAATAAAACAAAGAAATACAGTACGTATATGGTTAACTTTTATTATCACTCACTGAAAACTAAACATTTATTGAACACTGTATATGTATGTATGTGTGTGTGTGTGTGTGTATATTTTTCTTGTTCAATTGTTCTCAGGTAAAGACAAGAACATGTAGTGGTGAGTGAGCATGTGAGTCTTGACACGACTCTTATGAGTAGAGCGGTAAGGACAGTGGGTGCAGGCGTGAGGCTTCTCACCAGTGTGAGTAAACATATGTCGCTTAAGATGATCATTAGAGTTAGACTTGTAGGAGCAGTGAGGGCAAGCAAAAGGTTTTTCGCCTGTATGGACAGTAATATGTTTCTGTAAATTGGTGGTAATATCAGAGGCATAAGGACAGTAGGGGCACTGATGCATCTTCCTGATGGGGGTGAGGCCCTTCCAGTGTGGCGTGGCTCCTCCAGGGTACATCCTCTGTTCACGAGTCACCACCACCTGTGGGGGACGTCCTTCTTACTCAAGACTGCATACTTATGCATACTTATGCATCATCTGATAACATGCACTCAATTACTGGTTTCCACTCGGTGCCCAACGAATGACCATCTCTAACCAACTTTCCTTACTGTAAGCAATGAAGTCTTATGAAAGGGTTTATATATTATATATATATATATATATATATATATATATATATATATATATATATATATATATATATATATATATATATATATATATATATATATATATATATATATATATATATATATATATATATATATATATATATATATATATATATATATATATATATATATATATATATATATATATATATATATATATATATATTAATACAATCACACAGGGGAAATGGAAACAATGGAGAATCTTAGCTTTTGTCTTTAATCAAGATATCTTCAGAGGCAACTGAAGATGTTGCCTATGAAGATGTCTTGAATAAAGACAAAAGCTAAGATTCTCCATTGTTTCCATTTCCCCTGTGTGATTTTATTAATATATATATATATACTGATAACTTCCCAAGAGCTTTCGTGTAATTCACATCTACAGGGGTGAGTACAGACTGCTCAATATGCACCTACAGTGATTTACTTGCATATATATATATATATATATATATATATATATATATATATATTACCGGCACTGTATATTACTTTTTATATAAAGTGGTATGACTGTTTATTTCTTGTGATATGTTGTATGATATAAGAGCAATTTGACGATAATTTATGTTAATACTGTACAATCCTACTACAGTACAAACAATTGTAATAACATCATAAAGGAAATGCTTTACTTTTCAAACAATAAGAATGACATCTTCCAAAATTCAGTCATGTCTGGCACACAGATAATCTGTGGCATCACTTTCACTATAGTACAGTCCTTTGTCAGGATGTCTCCTCACTTAACTTTCTTACAGAGGCAGAAAAACATGAGCAGGGGGAAGATGTTAATGAGTAGCACGTACCACAGTGTGTATAATTACAATAATATTGAAATATTGCACTTAGAACTTTCTGTCTGACATAATTATCAAATATTTCACTCTTACACATACAGACAACATACTGTACACACATATGCACACTACACAAACATCTTCAAGATCAGAATGAAACAAAATTAAGCAATACTTGTACAGCATTTACTATAACTAGACCAGTTTGTTTCGAGAACACATGTACTTGACCTACAGGAAATTTATGTAAAGACTTTGAGAATTTTGTAATTTCAAACTAATTTGCATAATCTTGTATTATGTAAACTGAGAAGAATAAGTCTTCTACATATCCAGTTTTTGGAAATATAAAATATTTATTATCATTATCATTGTGAAAATTATTAATTCCAATCACATATTACCAATAACAGCTTACCTGGGTTTCCAAAAATTATCAATGTACAGTACTGTATTGTACTTAAGTGAGTTAACATGATTTTGATAATTTTCATACTCTTTTGTCAATTTCAGTCACAAATTACTGCATACACTACAATTGTGTATCTACATTTATTTAAATTACCATACTGTACATATATAATTTTGATATCAATGTAATTCAGATACTGTTTGTCTTCTACCTAACCTAAGTGAACTATAATATGAATTATATTTTCCTCACCAAGAGAATATCTGTTATATACTTTTTATCAATATAAGTTAACTGATATGTGTAATGTTTGGCAAATAGGTGTGACAGCCCACTGGAGACAAATTATATACAGTATTACAGTATACAGTATACTGTTTAGGAGATTGTAACGTCTATACTATATACTACATACCAACAAAGGAGCCAACCATTTGACAAATAATCCTTTTCAGATGCATTTATCAGCTGTTGAAGACTACCTGGTAAGCTTGACTGGGTGGCCGGGTGACTGAGTTATCAAGTTATACACTGACTGTTGACAAAGTTGTTTCACTAATTTTTGGCCACTTTTGTTGTTTATATGAGGATAATGATAATGATCTGAAAATCCGAGGTCCAAAATTTTCTCTCTTTCCCCATATACTGTACTGTATAAGCATTCTCTCTCCTCTTTCACACTAATCTGATCTCTTCCTCTTCCACTTCATTTAAGGTGATTTCCCTCTCTTCCACTTTACATGACATCTCTTCCCCTTCCACCTTATGACAGATCTGCTCCTCTTGTTTACATCTGTTCTTCTTTTACAGTTCACACGTGGTCTCCTTTTACAGTTCACATGAGGTCTTCTTTTACAGTTCACACATGGTCTCCTTTTACAGTTCACATGAGGTCTTCTTTTACAGTTCACTCGTGGTCTCCTTTTCCAGTTCACACGTGGTCTCCTTTTACAGTTCACACCTGGTCTCCTTTTACAGTTCACAAATGGTCTTCTTTTCCAGTTCACACCTGTCTCCTCTTCCAGTTCACACCTGGTCTCCACTTCTGCTTCACTACTGACCTCATCTACTGATATCCTCTTTCTATACCAATACTGTTTTTACTCGTCACTAGTCTTTCCTCACCCTGTAAAATACGATACACATCCTGGAAATTTGTCAATCCTTATAAAATCCATATCCTTGAAATTCCTCAGGCCTCTCTTATCATCTTCCTAGTGTAGCTACAGTACAACCCCTGTGTCAGTAATCTGCATCATCAATTTCTCTACAATCTATTGTTAATATACCCTGTAATCGTTAATTACGATATATTAGTGTTTTGTGGATTCTTTGAAAAGCGTTTGTCGTATTTTAAAGGGCTTTTCTCTCTATCTTTTGTTTATTGTCCCATAAATAAAGGTTAAATTGGCATAACTCTAGGGCTACCAGCAAGTTAATCACCCTGTACATGTATTTGTTTTTTTCACCTAAACTACACAATACAGTATTAAAAAAAAAAAAAAAAATCTCTAGAAAACCCTAATTCTAATCTACTGTGTGTCTTTACAACCAATTTACATAACAACTTCAACATTTCTAATTCCCATTCTTTGATATAACTCTTGAATGTTTACATAACATTAATTATGGTATTTTACTACAAAAAAGATCCCTACAGAGTGAATCTTTGTTTGAGTTTAACTTGACAAAGTAAACCACACTAAACCATACCCCAGGAAACTGAATGCTAGATAAAGGAGATACTGTAGGTTATGAATAATTCACACATTGCAGAGATGTACATATTTATTATTTTAAATAATGTTTGCAGATGAAATGTCACATGACACAGTAAGATGGCAACAGTGGAAAATATATCAATATACGAGTACTGTATATTATACTGTACAAGACTTCAATTTAATGTCTACGTGGCTCGAGACAGCACAAATTACAAGTTTCAATCTTGCAGGTATATTAAGTAGAGCAAGTTACTGTACAGATCCTTCAGGCGAACAACACTGACACTGACAGTATTGTACTGCCACATCAACACATCACCATCACATGTTTTTCATAAGTCCATCTAACACAAATGTGAAACTTTTTAACAAAAGTACTGTACAGTGATACTAATGCTTGCAATTTTGGACATCTTAACTACCATACAATTCCTAGCCTTATTAGGATATCATTCGCAATGTACTATGCCCAACTCTGCAAAACTTTTAAACCATTCACCTTTCTCATTAACACTACTGTATTGGGTAGTTTACCAAAATTTAATTACTTCACTGTATGATGCAGTAATCAACATAGACATCGAAGATCTACAGTAATGGTGTGAAAGGGTGTGAGAGGTGTAATTAGATCTCCCAGAGTCAGCTGCTGTGACTGGCAACAACAAACATTAATAACAAGTGGAGGGTTTTGTTCTGGCACAAAGCATCAAATTGTCCATCATTGGTAGATGCCTTATGAGGATTTCTGATAAGTTTTATGTCAACGACTATAATGATAAAAATATACAGAGGTTATGGTATAAGAATAGGAAGTGACCAAGATTGTACAGAGACTGTGACTCTCAGTCATGTGAACACGGTATGTGTGTCTTCTATGATATGAAGTAAGTTTGGAGGCCTTACAATACAGTAAGTCTTTACAGACTCACACACTTTACAGGAATAACAAAATACTGTATTTACATAATGTATATTTAAGATTTTATGAATGAGGACTACCTTCTGACATGTGACTACCATAGTGTATAATGGTTTTGGTTTGCATTAAAGAAAGCATTATCTGTTATGTAAACAGGAAGGCGATTCGCCCAGCCGGTGTGATATTAAAAACAAGGCCCATCAGGAAAAATGCCTCCCCTCATTTAGAAGGGATAACACTACAATATATTATTACTTAAATACACCACCAAACACATCAACTAATATTATATGAACCAAACATTCTTATGGTTATCTGTCTTGCTGTCAACAAAAACTTCACCATGTAGAGAGGATGAATTTTAATGCATCTATCACTGTAGTTGGGATTTTATCGACTTGTTAAGGGTTGGGATTTTATCAGGTTATTAAGGGTAACATAAACAATTCAAATGTTTACAAAAGAATAAACCAAAGTCTACAAGTCTGAGAAAAACATACAACAGGAGTAGTGTTCTAAAACTTTCAATTAAAATAAATGACAAATCAGTGGTTTACAATCACACATGATCTTCTTATTAGTTAAGCTATGTGAGCAGTTGTCAGGATCTGATGGTCTCAAGGTCAAGTCAGGGTAAACACATAGAGCAACATACCACATGTACACTCCTGTTATATTAATTCATCTTCAAGCAACAGTGTTGCAATGAAAAGTTCCCTGGTCTTATTTTTTATAGACTGTATAGTACATGATTGCAAATTCTTTCATATATGAGTATATGATGGGAGCCTTTTGGCTTTCATAGGATGGATGCATAAGTGAATACAATACTGTACAATGCTTCATTCATTCGAAATTATAAACTTTTCACTATTTTACTTTTCCATGGAAGAGTCTTGTGTTAATCTACAAATTTATGATGCTAATTATCGGTATAAGTCTTCCATACCTGACCTGAACCTTCAACATCATGATTAAGGATGGATAAGGGGAGAGAGGGTACAATCTGGCTGGGAAGGAACAAGGGAGGAACCTTGACCAGGGAGGGTCACAGAAGTGGAAGTGCAATCTAGTTGGGGAGGAACAAGGTTGAATGAATAATTTGACGAGGGAGCAACAAGGGAAGGAGGGAAGGCGGACAGGCTGATACTAGAACCATCACAATGCATTACTTAGAATAGCTAATTAATTTCATCAGGTCATCTGCATATTTACATAAGGTCTTAAAGGATCAGTGACAGCTTTATATAAGATAATTTGAACTTTAATTTAAATATTGATCAAGTTGAGTCTGAGTAAATCAACAATGTCTAAATAATACAAAATTCATATACTGTATTGACGACAAAAATGCCTTTGTTGGTGAAGCAGTTGACAGTAATCCACTTAAAAAATCATACAGTACAATACATAATTTTTTTTATTGGATGGCACATATATACTCAAGAGAATCATCTGTATTTCAAATAATATATATATATATATATATATATATATATATATATATATATATATATATATATATATATATATATATATATATATATATATATATATATATATATATATATATATATATATATATATATATATATATATATATATATATATATATATATATATATATATATATATATATATATATATATATATATATATATATATATATATATATATATATATATATATATATGAAACAAGACATACTGTAGATGCCATTCCCTTTATAACTTAAGGTCTATATAAACATCTTCTAAACAATCCCAATCAATGACACGTTAACCAAATAATAATCTTTATATAGTTACCCAGAACAGAAAATGAGTTGAGATATTTCATAACATTAATTCCATCTGAGAGTCAAACAGAAAGACACATGTCAGGTGTTGAAATTTCCCCTTGTGTTCTATTCAAAAGTCTGGTCCTTAACTTAGGCAATTCCAATATATAGTTGTCTAAATAAACAAATGATATGATCACTTCAGAGAAGACAAAATCAAATAATTAAAAAAAAGAAGAGATTTCTGAGAATGAAAATTCTTAAAAACTAAAAAGTTGGTAAATCTACAAGACAAGGCTGAACTGAACTGGACTTTGTAAACAGATATTGAGATATAAAATTTGTATGTAAACACACTAGTTCATGTAATGCTCCCTAGCGCTGTTTTTATTGTGTAAACAGTGACATAAATCACAAGATGTACTTCTTTATAAAAAAAAAGAAATGGATTTGAATATCTCATTTAGCATCTAATTCCAGTGAGACTTATTTGTGAAAATATTTTTTATAGTATTTTTTGCCATTGTAGAAGATCAAATCATTTGAATTAGATCTGTTAGGGCACTAATTGCAGCATATGGCTTCTCGCCTGTGTGGGCGGAGATGTGTCTTTTATAATTTATGAGACAATGGGTGGTGAAAGGACAGTAGGAACACTTGTGAATCTTCCTGCTGAGGTGGCCCTTCATAAGTCCCATGGCTCCTCCACTGCCGACCCTCTGACCAGTATGGCCCAGCACCACCTGTAGGGTATGTCCGTCTTACTCAAAGTTGTACAGTAAGCAATTAGTTTAAAAAAAAAAAAGAAAAAAAAAGAAAAAAAAATGGCCACTTAAATCTCTATGTACTTACAGTAAAGTGTTCCCTATGTCCTGCCATAATAACAGGGACAACAGGAACAACTTCATCAATATTCTGCACCATACAGTACAGTACTGTATATTTTTGATGATTTTTTGATGGATCACCTACAGTATTGATAATATCTGATCTACAAGATATTATTCTTATATTAATTATAATTTTACATAATAATCTGAATATATTATCTGCTTAAATTAATACACCTAAGACCTTTAAAAAAATATGTACAGTACAGTACAGCACTGTACTGGATTACAGAAATCACACTGTTCTCTACATGAAAGTACTGTACAGTACAGTATTGTGCTTTTTGTGCCCAGATATGTACAATGCTGTATTTCGATTACCAGTACACATGTAAGCTGGAAACCTTTACTTAATTAATTTTCCCCGTGTGATCTTAGCAAGAGGACTGATCTCCAATTCACTGGTGTAATACTAATGAAAAAATTTGTGCACATACAGAAGCTCCAATACTTCTGGTTGGCTCTCTTGACACCATTGTTGCCACGACAGTTTGCATATCTACAGTATTTATGTTGTTTAAAAACTCTTGTATCTAAGGATACACATGTTTATATGATTGCATGTGAAATTATGTGAAATATTTGTAAATAAGGCAGATACTTCCTTCTACGGTTCAGTGTATTTGGCTACAAACTACATACCGTAAGCCATGATCATATGGTAAAGTTTTAGTCAAGGTGTTAAATTCAAGTTCAGTCTTATAAGACATCAACAATACAGTAAATGTCTAACTGAACTTTTAATTTTGTCACACTTCCCCAAAATTTCATATGAAGTACAGTACTATAATCTACACACATGCTTAGGTGTGAATAAACTGTATGCCTGTGTTTGGCCATTTCTAAGTCAATTTCTTCTTGGCTGTTAGATGAAAACAAAAATGTTTTACAGTGTTGTTATTAGTGATGACTGGTTGTTAAATACTGTAGTGGTGGTGCCAGAACTTGATACTTGTGAGGGGGATGTAAACCTATGAGGAAGATTTTGTATGAGGGGGATATTTATCCAGAGTGAGCCCTTCTGGCAATGAATCTAGCATCCACTCTTAAAAAGGCCTGGAAGGTTTGAGGGCTCAAGCATCTTTGTGAGTGTGACTGTGAGTGTGTGTGTGTGTTTGTGCACAACAGCACATGCACTCTTCCTCAATATTCATAATACAGTAATAAGACGTAATTTTTTTTTTTTAGGAACAAAATTCTCATGAGGGGGATATATGACCTCTGTATTGAGTGTTGAGTTGTCCTGCAACATCAGAAAATAAATGGCAATATTTTTTTATAATTTTTTATTAAAATATTACCTATGAAAATTATACAGATACTGTACAAAACTTGCTTGATGTGCTCCTGACAGTATGTACAGTATCAATAGACCTTATCTTTCCATGAGCTCATAAAAATATATTCCATACAATGTTTACAGTTGTCTTATTAATGTGTCCAGAAAATATTTCAACACAGGGCTTCTGGTGCTTATTTACAGTTCACAGAGAAAAGAAAATACTGTACACCAAAGAAAACTGGTCACTTTATTCACTAATTAAAAGTGTGTGAACATAATTTATATATTTTTTTTACAATTGAAGTTAAATTGTGTTTTAATGATGCTGTAGTGACTTTTCATACCTCAACACTTGGTCAAGTACCAGATTTTTGGTAATCCCTTCACTATGTGGACGTCACTTTTAAAATTTTACTTAGCTGATGACAGACGATTTTATTCAGATCAGAGGCAACCCCGTATACAAGGGGTTAACAACCAATTTTTCTTCATAACTGATATCAAGACATCAATATCAGCTATTACCTCACTCGAGGTATTCTTTTACTAAAAGGATGAAGAGTCAGTTAAAGTATTCTTTATTTCAATTCAAGGACATAACTAAAACCAACAAGAGTCATTTTCAGGAAACTCCCTCAAAAATTATTGTAGCAGAATCATCCTGTAGCAAAATCATCGTCATGAAATTCTTTTAAAAATTATTGGATGAGTTGATTAAACATTCTTATGACTAAAGACAGGCTTCTGATTGAAAAAACTTATAATTATAATGAGACAGATAAACATGAAAGTAAAATTTTGGGTGAGTAATTATGAGGTGTTTACTGCCTAACACAGCTGTAAATTACATAAAAAACTGTATACAGCAAATTCCTGCTTAAAATGGCCATGAATAAGCAAATTAAATAACCATAAACATGCGCTTAAAATAGCCATGAATATGTACTCCATCTGGCTATGAATAAGCACTTAGAATTACCATAAATATTCACTAAAAAAATAGCCATAAATCTGCACTTAAAAAGGACATAAATATGCATTTAAAATGGTCCAAAATATGCACTTAAAATGGTCTTAAATGTACACTTAAAATAACCCTAAATATGCACTTAAAAAGACTACAAATATGCACTTAAAATGACCATAAATATTATTATTACTTTGTGCCCCCAAAGTCACTCCTTGGAAAAGTTGGGAATATGTGAAACCCAGATCTTTCCTCACCTGACAATCTGCCCAGGTATATGAGGATTTAGAGTACCGTACTTATACTGTAATGATAATTTCACTTATTTGGTAATACAGTAAATTAAATCATCAGTTATTTGCAAGTTAAAACAAATTTATTCAAGAGACTTAAGACTCATAAACAAGTACAGTTATATCTCCGTTAGCCGGAATCTCTCAAACCCAAACTCTCTGATAGCCAGAACTGAAATTTTCTCGGAAAATCGTTCCCAAAGCCGTAATTTTCTGGAAAATTCCGGCTTTGGGAATAATTTTCCAAGGGGCACATTTTCTGGTCACTTATGTTGTCAGCTCCATGAAATTCAAACAAAGGGGCAGGATCATTGTTCATTAAAAATCTTAGGTGGTTTGCGTAATAACTATTATGGGGAAATTCAATATGATGACGGGATGGAGAAAATCTCTTATCTTATTAATAAAACAAAATAAATTATTACTACAAGGCAGGATTGAGAATTACTAGCCTAACATATCCAACATGGCATTAATTTAATTTTACTAAATACTGTTTAAGGCAAATACTGTACGTACTCTTACAATCAGCAAGTCTCAATTATCAGTATAGTTCTCCATTTCCTGATACAGTATTCCAGTTTAATATGATACAGTACTGGGAAGACATTATATCCTTAATGGATGACAAAATATTTTCAATGTTTGAAAGTTTCACACACACACACACAAAAAACCTTGTAATACCGGTACTGTAATACTGTTAGGAAGTTCACAAATTTGTGTTAAAACATCGCCAAGTACAGTAAATATTTCATCTTAATGTTACCGTGGGTAAGTTTTTTTTTTTTTTTAATGAATCTCCAACAGTGACTAACCATTATCTCAGACTTATGGTGAAAGAAGTCTAATGACTCGTTCTCGTGCAATGTTACAATGAGCCATAGGGTCATTTTGTAAATGAGTATGGCTTTTCTCCATTGTGGGTGTTCATATGACGTTTAAGGTGATCTCTTGAGCATGATCTATAAGAGCAGATGGTACAGGCATATGGTTTCTCGCCAGTGTGAGTGGCAACATGTCTTTTATAGTTAGTGATAAAACGAGTACAGTATAGACAGTAGGGACATTGATGCATCTTCCTGGTGGTGTGGCCCTTCCTATGTCCCAAGGCTCCTCCACCGCCAGGCCCCTGACCATCACCGAACATCACCATCTGTAGGGTAAGTTTTGTCTTACTCAAGGTTGTACACATTTTGTCATAAGCATGCCTGTGATGTCCTCAATAAACATTTGCAGATTTTTACTGCTTTTAACTTTTCATTCTGAAATCATACATTGTTGATTCAATGTTTATTTCAATGAGTTCTTAATATAACCTGTGTGCTACATATTTTATAAAACCACATGACAGGAAATATGCCATCCGTCTACAGTACTGTACTTTTACTTCGCATTACTGTACCATCACGCCTATAGGAGCCACTTTCACTTCTCACTATTACTGATACATAATCACAAAACATTATTCTCCCATATGAGTTATTTCAAAACGTATGATTCTTCTGCCAAGAAATCTAGGAGTCAGTACACCAGTATACAGTAGTAATTAAATAATGCGGTGTTCGACATTTTTTACACCTTTCCGTCTATGGTGGAGGCATTAGTAGTTTTGCCTTTTCCCTAAAATTTCTGACATTTACTAGGATGCTATTGAACTGAATCAAGTCATAATTTAACAGTAAGTTCACACTAAGAAGCAGAGCTATGACATGGGAAGAGGCTGGAAGAAACGAACTGAGCAAAAAAGAACCTGATGAGAGAGCCTGCAAGACACTGTGAAGCATTGACAGCTGCCATCAGGTAATCACGCCTAACCCACACAAGTTTGAAAAATGTCAGTTAATCAGTGGTGGTGGTGGTGGTGGTGGTGGTGGTGGTGGTGGTGGTGGTGGTGGTGATGATGATGATGATGATGATGATCTCTCCTTTAAAGTTAGTGGATCTGTATGATGACTTTAATTTAACCCTTAAATGGTGGCCATCACCAGTGGAAGTTAGCTGTAAGGACGGTGATTAAGATCTGTGCATGGGGGGTTGGCAGGAGGAGTAGGGAGTTTTTAATCGCCGATAAAGAAATGAGTACCTGGTAAATGCTTCTATCTGGTATCTTTCCTACAAACACTAAATAAGTCTGTATGTTACCTTTCCCTTAAGTAGATGGTTCTATGTTAACCTTCCTTTAAGATGGTTCTATATGTTAGCTTATTTTTCAAGTAAATGGTTCTACATTTTAACTTTCCTTCAAGTACAATAAATGGTTCTATATGTTTACTTTCCTTTAAGTAATTAAATGTAGATACACATTCTGCATGACAAGGTTTAATAAAGGGCTCTGTATGATGATTTTCTATTAAAGAAAATGGTTCTGTACACTGAATCATCCACACCACCTACAACACCTAATTTAGTGAATATGTTGGTGCAGTACTGTACTACTAACTGTTATATTAAAGAACATCACTTGCATACCTTGTTGGATCAAGACTGCATGTACTGCAATGGTATTATCTCGGCCCACATAAATGTCTTAAAAGCACAAGTGAGTTGCACCTTCTTCTCTAGGAGGCTGGATCCATTAACCCCTACGCCCTGGTTGACGCTCTGGAACGCGCGCCTTTTCGTGCCATTGTTTGAATGCCCAGCGCGGGTTATGAGGTTCCAACATGACTATTTGGTGGTCATGCCGCACGCAGGGTAGCGTGGGTTCGCTCAGCGCGGTTAGTACGCATTAGCCTGTCGCCATGGAGAGTCGTCTCTTAACCTCTCACGCTTAAAGTAGTGTACTGTAGTTGTATTGTAGTGTAGTATTACTGTTAAATAATGCTATGATTATGTTATAAATGTATTTATTTGTGGAATTATTATTCCGATAAATACAGCTACTCCTCGACTTATGGCCACCAGGACATATGACCGCCCCAGTCGTACCAAAAAATTTTCAAATTACATATTTTCTAGTCCCGACGTTAGTGATTGTGTTGTGTACTGACAAAATTTTCGTTTGTAAATCCCTATGTATTATTTAAGCATTTTTGACTTACGACCTGGATTTGGGTCCCTAACCCCGTCTTAAGTCGAGGAGCAGCTGTATTTATATGCATTACTTGCTCTCCCAAACACAAAGACAGCCTGGCGACAGACTGCGTGTGGTGTCGTCGAGCACTTTTTATGAAAAATAATGCAAATTTTAAAATAAATTCTAAATTAATTATTTATAGGATACAAAGGCTAGCAGAAAATGGCCACTAAGTGCGTAGTGACCACGAGTGCTAGCCGTCAAACAAGCTGTCCCCATATCTCCCTCGCCACTGCAGCCCTAGGAAAGTTTCTAGAGGGTCAATATATAGTTTTTCTTACTTCTTTTTTATTGTTTTATCATTTAAAAAGGTTAAAAATTATTTTTGGAAAAGTTGATTTTTCTTGACTTACCCCGCGTGGGGGATACGGCTAGCAGCACCCTAGCCTGGGGTGTAGCGGTTAAAAACAACAACAGGACAATTGTTTCCTCATCTAGTTCATTCCTCCAAAATCTGTAAATTGTCAAATAAAATGTGTTGGGGGTTTTACCCCCTTTTCTACTGTCATGGTGTTGTGACATCATCTTAATTTGCAAAGCATTTTAATTTGCACACCCTCGAGAGACGTAGGGTGAGGGGAGATATAATAGAGGTGTATAAATGGAAGTCAGGGCTAAACAAAGGTGATATAACAAAGGAACTCAAACTCTCCAAAAAGGAGAGAACTTGTAACAATGGCTTTAAATTAGACAAATTTAGATTTAGGCAAAAGATAGGTAAACATTGGTTTGGAAATAGAGTACTGTTGTGGTTGAATGGAACAAGTTACCAAACATCATCATTAACTCGAATACGCTGGATAGCTTCAAACACAGGTTGGATGGATATATGAGCGATAGTAGTTGGGTGTAAATGGGACTGCAGTCCAATACTGCAGCGAATAGGCCTAATGCAGTTTCCTCCATTCTTATGTTCTTATGTTCAAATAGAACACAGTGGTATATCTGAAGTGTAGAATTTGGGCTTGTTTGTAGCATAAAACTCCCATTAGATACACTGCTGGTGTTTTCTGTTACCTTCAAGTACATCACAGTAACAAAATTAATGTTTCACTAACTGCTTGACTCAGTTAAACAAATCTGTACAGTGCAAACATTTTACTTGCACAAATCTCCCATGAATCATCATTTCAATATGGACAGCAAATTCCAAATTTCTAGTCTGAAGTCATAAAGCTCTGTTTAACTGCTTTTCTGGAAATTTATTTTGAGTAATGTTGACCCAGTTAATGACATGAGTAGTAAGGAATATAGATAAGATATTGGTAACTGAAAGTGAAGATGTCTAGTTGGCAACAAAATGTGCAGTGAATAATTTGGTGATACAGTGGAAAAATCTACACTTGCAATGACACTCAATTACAACATTGACCTTAGATAAAATTACTATGTACAGGTACAATATTTATAATGTGCTTTTAAATCTATGTTTATCATCAATCTTCTTGTTGTAAAATGTACAGAAGATTTTAAATATATGTACAGTACACTATTGTCATTTATTGATATTAAATTAAATATAAATATGGGGAAACTATTTTATTTGGCTAACACCAGATAATTTTATTTAGCTCAGAGGGGGACTTGTACACAAGGGGTTAATCAAAATAAAATCTGAGTGTTGTTTTACAAACTAAATTCATATACTGTATATGATAAAAATTTACAATATCTACGTTTCTTTGACTGTTTGTCATTATCTGTGCGCACCATGCTTACTGTGGTGAGGGAGTTTAAAGCTGGTTCACTTGGTATAGTTATGAGGTTGTATTTGATGGGCAGAAAGATTGGCTTACTGGTAAAATATACAGGGACAGAAGTACAAGACACAGATATCATGTACATTTATTCAAGATCTAAAAAATTTCACAGTTCTTTTATACATTTAAACTTCACACTAAAGTTAAGGCTAGATTACATACTGTATTCATAACTATATTTCAGTATACAGTATTGGTGTTTACAAAATATACATTATTATAAATACTGTATCAGTATGGCCATTTCATTACCAAAGGTTTTTGCCGTGAATGCATGAAGCATGCATTTTTACATCAGCTTTTTCATTACTTGCATAAGGGCAAAACGGACACTGAAATGGGGTTTCTCTCCTGTGGGTATGCAAATGTCTTTCTAAACTCTGCTTTGTAATAGCACTATAGGAACAGTGTGGACATGAATATGGTTTTTCCCCAGTATGTCTCCTCATGTGATTCCTCAAATTGGTGGTGAAATAAGTAGTGTAATCACAATAAGAGCACTTGTGCATCCTGCTGATGTCCTGACCTCTCCCAGGGCCTGTGGTTCCACTCTTGTTGGGCCTCTGACCGTCACTGTCCAGCCCCACCTGTTGGCGATGCTTCGCTTATTCACTGGTAATTTTTTTCTCAAAATCTCTAAACACAGTATTATAATATATATTATACACATTAGTATACTACTGTAGAGTTTCACACACACCTGAACCAACATTAATATTTGGGTTTGTTATATATACCTGTATATATACTACAGTACCATGATCTTTTCTTAACATTATGTTTTCCTGTTGCCTTTTATCAAACACAATTGCTTTCAATCACTGTATTTAAAAATTTTATATCAAGTAATCAAATATTTTGTATATCAAAGTAAATGTAAAATCAAAGATTATGATGTACTTAAAAACAAAAAGAGTAGGACTGGTACTGTACTGATGAGGTACAGTACTTTCTATTGCAACTTAGGGCAAGGATGACAGAGTTACTATTATAAAGCTTTGTTATTGGTTCACATTTTGAAGTCTTAAACACTGCCATCTGTACTTGCAACTTTCCTTTATTTATGTAAAGAAAAACTTTATTGTATAATATTTCGTTTATATTCATACATGATACTCTGTACTGTACTTTAATACAACTAATGGATGTTCAGTCTTTATCAGAAGTATGACAAGATTAATAGCTTGAATATACAGTAAAACCTACTCCTTATTATCCACATAAAATCTATGACATTCTCTCTTCTCATATTTTCAGTAACAAAGAATTGCAATCAAAAGAATTAGATTCTGATGTCACAAATGCACAGTGGCAAAA